TGACGTGAGATATGGGTTATTTGTTTCAGCTCAATGGCCAAATTGATTTTTTACAAGTTTAAAGACTTATTTGGTTTTTAAATACAAATATTTTAAATTTTTAAATATAAATATTAAAAAATTAAATATAAAAATAAAATTAACTATTAGTATTATTTATTAAATGAAAATATTAAAATTAAAAAATATTTACTATAAAATTAAAAAAAAGATAGTAAACGTGAGTAAAAAAATAAAAAAAAATCAAATAATAAAGAATACATCAATTAAAATTAAGAATAAAATCTCAATACTATTACGGATAAAATGAATTCTCAATAATTATTTATATTGCATTACAAATAATTCTCGTCCAATCAAATCTATATTATTTTAATGATAAATTTATTAATTCATAAATATATATTTTTTAATATCATAATTGACTAATACCAAAATATTCTTTAGATATATCAAAATTTACAACTAACTCTAAAATATCTACTCTCTACCATAATTCCTAACATTATTATGTGTTCTAAAATAATGACATTAATATCAACAGTGATGAAAACAAAGTACTTAAATGAAAGAATCAAATTTTAAGAGGGTTGAAAACAAAAATCAAATGGCTAATATATTTGTAGTATTTTAAATTTAAAATATTTTTTAGTCAAATAAATCATTGAATTTTAAAAAAAACAATTGGACCATCGAACTTGAAAAATAACCAATTTAGCTCATATGTCACACCACCAACCACTGTAACTGTCACATCAACAATGTGAAATATCACGTCAGTATCGTAATGGTCAACAATGAAAATTGTTGGTCGCCCACATTGAATCTTTTTCGAAGTTCGAGGATCACATTGATTTTTTAAAAAGTACAAGAACCTCATGTATCATTTTACCAAATATTTTTAAAAAATATATATATAATCTGTGTGTAATATATAGCCATATCATTAACACTCATACAAAACACTCTGATTGAATTAGTCGAGACTTGTAAGTTTTGTATTAAAATATAGTTAGGAAATATAATTAGATATGTGTATTAGTACGAGTAACTTACGATGTTTTCTAACAAATTTTGATACAAATTATAACTAAGAAACATAGTAAGTTACTCGCATCAATATACAATTCTAACTATATTTTAACACAAAATTTGTAAGTCTCAACTAATTTTATCATAGAACTTTGTATAAGTGTTAATGATATGATCATATATTACACATATATATACACAAAAAATCTAGCTATATTTTTATATAGAATTTATAAATCTCGACTTATTTAATCATAGTACTTTGTATAAGTGTTAATGATATGACTATATATATTAAATGTTTTTAAAAATATTTTTTTATGTTTTAATAATTTATAATTTATCATTTTAAAGCTTATGATATATATTTATTTTTTTAAATAATAATATTTTTAATATTCTTAACATATATATATTTAATTTGTATAGTAATTTAATTTTTATTTATTTTATTTTATATTTAATTTTTTAATATTTGAATATTTTTATATTTTAATTTTTAAGTTTAAGCCAATTTTTATTTTTTTAATTAAAATAAACCTCTAAACTTAAAAAAAATTAATATGATCTTTTAATAAGATCAAAAAATCAATTTAACTCGTTATGTCATTTGTCACTTTTGTAATCACCGTGGCCCTCCATTTCAGTCCTGTAAGCATAATATCTGTCAACGACAAAAATATTGGTCAAAACCTTGAGAGGACATTCTGTTTCTCGAGCTTTCATGGTTACAAGATCGAATAGCACATCCAACTTACTTTATCAACAGTCCAGCCAGATAAAGGATCAAGGAAATCGGGATCAGTTGCCTTTACTTTAAGGGGGGCTTGAATCTCATGTCATTAAAAGTAGGCAGGCTTTGAACAAGCAGGTAGAATGAACTAACTTCAAGGGATGATCTCGGATTGAAATCCAACATTGAGAGCCCAGGGAAAAAATTCCTAAAACAGAAAAAGGATTTTAAGTCCAAGGCGGCGATAGGATGAATTTTAAGTCATTTTGGACGAAGCAGCGGGCATACCAGAAATGGCTTGTCAGGAATGGTAGATGAAGCAAGGATGCATAGCAGGTTTAAAACACGACACAAGTAGGACGCACTGAGGCCGAGCTTTCCTCTACTACTCATTGGAGCTAGCATACGAAATTATCCGTTGAAGGGTTCAACTCTCAGGGCGGCCATTGCAAGTGATATTCAAATGATCATATTGAGTTTGTTTTTTTAAGTCGAAGGGTCACATTAGATGTTAGTTGGTATTAAATTTTGTGTATTCATGATTTCAAGATTGAAGAAGAATTTGAAGTGGATGTGAAAAGATGTTGTAGTGAGATGTTTTCAGGCAAGTTTTAATCATTTGTTCCCGTAAATTGTTTGTTTGGGATCTGCTTCTCTTTTAAGTTATCTCCTTAGACTCATTGTTTATTAGGGTTTACAACTTGTTTATTGTATAAGTGACTGCAATAGAAACGAGTGATGATTGGGGTGGTGGATACTTTAAATTTGTCTTTGGTTTATAGTCAAGTTGAACTAGAATGGTTTCAAGTAGTTTTCCTTTTTCTTCTCCCTATTTGACATTTTGACTGGGGCATAATTGTTTCTTTTGTTCACTGGTTATTGTACCTTACTGTTGGCTGTATTATGTATTAAATCTGTTTCTTTTCGTAGAATTTTATTCTGTATGGGTAATTTTTGATTAGTTCCTAATGAAGCTGGGATTATCTGATTTTTATGGTATGGTATTATTCCTTGGATTGTGCTTTATGCTTGTTTTTCTACATTTTACATTGATTGGTGATTGTTTGCTCTTTTTACCCTCTGCAAATATAGCAAGTCGAAGAGTTTTCTGTCAAGGGCGGAACAAGCACCAAGCCAATCAATGCAAAATGCACTCTCTCCTTCGCTTAAAGCATTGATTGCGGAGCAGCTTTTCAGACATCCTGATGCTGATGTCAAAGTTGCAGTTGCTTCTTGCATCAGTGAGATAACAAGGATAACTGCACCAGATGCGCCTTATAATGATGACCAAATGAGGGTACTTTGAATTCATTTTTTCTGGTCGCTCTTACATATTTCATTATCTTTTAAAACCCATTTTCTGCGCTGGAAATAATGATTCCTATTAATGTGTGTGCAGGAGATCTTTCAACTGATTGTATCATCATTCGAAAATCTAGCTGATAAGTCCAGCCGCTCACATACTAAGAGGACCTCTATTCTTGAAACTGTTGCAAAAGTCAGATCGTGTGTGGCAATGTTGGATCTTGAGTGTGATGCTTTAATCATTGAGATGTTCCAGCATTTCCTTAATGCAATAAGGTACAAACTAAGTCCATGATTGGAGATATGCATTCTCTTGTTAGCATTCGTTCATCAACATAAATCTTTGGCCATTATTTCCAACCTTCCGAGTTCTGTGTGATTTGTGGGCTTTAGTTTCCCACAAGATGATTATTGCATTATCTAAAATAAAAAGTTGTTGTCATCCTGTCATATAATAAAGAAGTGGTTTAGTATGCTATCCTGTAGATGCATTCTGAACCATTGTTTTCCTTGTGATTCTTTTTGTTTGCTTTTCAGAGATTATCATGCAGATACTATGTTTACATCAATGTTGACGATTATGACCCTTGTGTCGTAAGAAAGTGAAGACATCTTTATGGAGCTGCACTCCCCAATCTTAGCTAGGGTAAAGAGAGATAATGAGGTCTGTTACCATACGAGTCAGTTTCTATCTGTTCTCTTCTACAATCTTGTTTAGTTCATGTACCGCATCTATTTCCTTTCAGGGAGTTCTTCCTATTGCTCGGAAGTTGGCGAAGAGTGTGCTTGAAAACTGTGCATCAAAACTGAAACCTTACCTAACACAAGCTGTAGGGAACTTGGGAATTGCTTATGAGGATTATGGTGGTGTAGTAGCTTCTATATGCCATGTGGCACCCAGTGCTGTGGTGCAGAATGGTGATGCTACTGACAAACGTGTGGTAATTATCTCATTTGCACCCGAGTATAATTCCATAAATTCTTTTTGTTTGATGACAATTCGTTTAGTCAATTTTTTCTCTTTGATTTTTTATGTCTATACTCTATATTGTTTGCAGATAGAATAGGCACTAGTTGATTATATAAGGTTTAGATTTTTTTATTTAATTTTGTACGGTACTTTGTTAATGATCCTTTTTTTAATTACTTTTTTCAGTTTTGTTCAAGACATCCTTCAAAAGCTTGTCTTGTGCTGAAAAACTAAGACACCTTACTGATCCCTTTTATGCTCTTTGGCGAAGATAGAGTAGAATTAGTAACATTAATGTTTTCTTTCTTTTTTGGGGTTAATTTGCTGTGGGATGCTGAAAGCAAACCAGCAGAAGCACCTTCGGACAATGCAGTTCAGTCATGTTTCTTATATTTATTGTTAGTCTTCAATGTTCTACGAGTGTGTGCGTGTGTGTGGATTCAAGTGCTTCCTTTTTTTTCAATTGTATTCTACTCTTGTTATTAGAATTTGATACTTGAAATTCATCATTTATGAATCCTCAAATCCTATACAGGAGGAGATTCCTAAAGAGTCCGTTTTAGCAGAACAAGTTGATCATGCAAATGAAAATTCTCAAACTTCAGTTGTTAGCAATGGCGTTAGTCAAACTGATGAAAGAAATTCATTACCTGATTCAAGCTCCTTACAGAACCAAGAGGATGACTGCCTTGCCAATAAGTATGAGAATGTTGATACATCAACTGTTGCTGAACCTGATGGATTGGAAGGTGAGAAAGTGGTCATTTCAGATTCTAAGTTGGAACAAAGCACCGATGAAAAAGGGGAGAAATCCCATTCAAAATCAACAGAACCTTCTGACAGCACTCATGGTGATGGTAAGGAAGTTGAGACCTTAGCAAACCAGAAAGATGACAGCAAGGATGATGCTCATCCACCTTGTGAGGATCCTTCTGTTCATAGGGCTGTATCCACGGAAAAAAGAAAGATGGCTTGAGCAAGATCACACCTTCTGTTGACAATGTCTCTAAGAAGTTATCCAAAGTGTCAATTGATTCAGAAGCAAAAACAAATAAACGACCAGGGAAAGAGGTTGCTTCTGTGGTTTCGTACAAGGATAGTGCTCAGCCCAATGTAGATAAAACTAAGAAAGAAAGTGGCACCGCAAGTGATTCAGAGGAAAAACCTCTGAATCAGATATCAAAGAAGGTGTATTCTAGTAGTACTAATGCAGATGGATCCTCTTCAAGGAAACCAAAGGATAAGAAAAAGCGAGCTTGGGGAAAAGTTATTCTTCCTGAGAAGGATGGAACCAAAATCTCGACCAGGAATGAGGATGAGGTGCATAATTTTTGTCTTTTAAGTTGCTTATTCAAAGCTTTATCATTTACATTTTAGCTGTTCTGGATACTTCAATAAAGGGAATAATTGTTGCCTTATCACTTATTTAGGAAATGATTGGTTCTCCTAAGGCAGTGAAATCAAACAAACTTGATTCTCACATGGATGAGACCCATATGAAAAATTCCAAGAGAAAGCATACCCCAAGTAAAGAAAAAGTGTCTGTAGCTATAAAACTATTGAGGTTGCCTTTGTGTTCTTTTATGTTTCGTTTCGCTAACTTCTATATTTCCTTTGCTGTTTCTTGAGATCATAGCTACTCCCTTTTATCTCACTTGAAGGAAATGGAAGCTCAAATAATTCTATATGACTAATCGTAGACCTTGTGTTTGACTCTGTTCATACAAACTGCAATCTGAACATAGTTGAAGTAATGATATCGCATGTCCTTTTCTGGAAACAAATGATTTAGATTTCATTTTGATTCGTTGTCAGGGATCTGATACCTTAGAATATGGTGAGAATCTGATTGGCTTGAAGGAGAATGTCTGGTGGCCTAAAGACCATGCGTAAGTATATATTTCTGTATTTCAATCCTTTATTTGCAAGTATTACCGAAGTGATACTCTAAAAATAGAAACCATGAAATATTATTCGTTTGAGCTTTTCTCTTATGTGTGTGAATGTCTTTCCCATACCAGTTTATAACCTCCTATTACCATGTTCTCACACTCAAAACTTACATTTCCAAGGAAAACAAAATGACTAATGGAAAGTGCCCTCTTTCAAATATGTGGTGCGATGTAAGATTCAAGTGTGTAATAAAAACGCTAGAGTACGATGATAATAAAACCTCTCATGATTAAACAACGGACAATTTACATAGAAGCTAGCAGTGGTCTGTGATTCAATGTTAATCACAGGAGCCTTTCCTAATCTTATTCAGTAAACTCTTGAACGCAGATCACCTCCAAAAACATGAAAACCAAGATCAGACACCAACCATCCAACCCCCCACCCCTCTCCCCCTCTCTCTTATGAATGGTATGAAACCAAACCTATTTTTCTGGTAGCAAAATGGCATCACTTCTCCTATTAAATTTTTGCTAAGAGGTACAAAATAGAAAGTGTTCTGTTGTTCCTAACTATCTCAAGTGAGGTTGTCCATGTGTAGACTCTTGTTGAGCTATACTCGAGGGGAGTATTAAATGGTATTACCACACATTTACGAGGACTAGGTTGAATGATTTACGAGGTCAAAGTGTGTGATGTTGTTCCTAACTATTTCAAGTGAGGTTGTCCGTGTGTAGACACTTGTTGAGCCATACTCGAGGGGAGTATTAAATGGTATTACCTCACATGTATAAGGACTAGGTTTCTTATTGTCTTATATTTCAGTTGTCCCTCTTCACTCACTACCAATGGGTTTTATGTGGATGCTTAGTTGAAAAAGTAAATAACATGTACCTTAAAGGGTAAATTATTGGATTATTTTAAATGATGACGTCTTAAGTGCCACATGCTTATTTATTTGTTGTCTCGATGTTTTTCCTGGAGAATGAATTCTGAATCAAGTCATGCTTGTATTAAGATTTATTAAGTCTTTGGCTTGACTTACTTTAGTCAAGGAACTTAAGTAAATGTACATTTCTTTATTCTTGATTAATCTTTCACCCCTTATGGGTGTTACTGTTTGCAAGATTCTATGACGGTGTTATTCAGTCGTTTGATCCTATTAAAAAGAAGCATAAGGTTGGCACATCAACTAAGATAAAGGCTTCCTTACATGATTTTCTTTTCCCGCACGTGTTACCCGAGGTTTTCCCTCTTAACTGTTCGTGCTTGAATTTTTAAAATTCTTCATTTCTCTTCTGTAGGTGCTCTATGATGACGGTGATGTAGAAATTTTGAATCTTAAGAGAGAAAAGTGGGAGGTGATCAAAGATGAGTCTGGGTTCTAATGAGGTGGGCAGTTTTCCTAAATAATATATGTGACTAGCTTTTATTTGAGTTGTGTTCTAGATTGCTAATAATTTATTGAAACAGTAGGTTGCAGCAGATCATCCGCGTTCTGACGGTTTGTCTGAAATGTAAGTTCCTGTTGTTGTGATTCTTGATTGCTAAAGTTGATTGAACCACAATCATGGTTCTACTTCTACATGGTGTCATTATGTATTTTGGCCTTGCATCATGAAACTCTGCATGTATTTTTTGTGCAGTTTATGTCGATACATCTTCCTATCTTTTGCAATCCTAATTCTATTTGCTCGAGTTTTACTGTAGGTTTAACCATTTAGGGATTAATATATTTGGTACTAGCTTTGCGTTTGCTTGTCCGTTTCCTGGTCTATTCCTGTCTGATATCTTCTGTGGCCTTATCTTTTTCCCCCCTCGTTTCCATTTCCATTAACAGCTCTCAGAAGAAGAAAGCGAAAGCTGCTGATTAGCCGAGAAAGAAAGCCAAGATGGATGCTTCGGCAAAAAAGGTTATTGAATTCTTTCAAACAAAAATCTTTGCTACTATTCTTTCCTTGATTTCTGAATATCTCAGAATTGGATGTCCAGGGGTGGAGGCGCTTCGTCTAGAAAATCCAAGGGTGCTTCCATGAGGTCTGGTAGCAAAATAGAGGAAGATGGTACTAGTGGATGGCTCCAAGAAATTCGAAAAATTGGACAATGTTACCAAAGCCAAGGATCATACCCCTGAAAGTGGTAGTAGACCAGTCGATGTTGCTTCAAAAGTGGGCAGCAAATCCAAAAACGAGGACAGTGTTGACACACCCAAGGATGTTGACACGCCCAAGTCTACCGAACCCAAGGTTGATGACATTGTCACGCCGAAAGCTACCACAAAGCCGAAGCAAGACGCCGCAAAGACAGGCAAGACGAAGCAGGAAGCCCCCAAAGTTTCCTCCAATTCCAAGGGTATTCCTTTTAAAAGTGGTGGTAAATCGGATGCAAATGGTGGTGGTAAGTGGAAATCCGGTTTATCAAAGGTGAAAGAAGGCGAGAGCATGAAAGAGAACTCGGCTGATTCAGCTGAAGTTGTGGAAACTTTAAAGAGGAAAGCCCCAAGTTCATCGTCGAAGGGACAGGGAACTGATCCCAAGACTGTAAAAAAACGACGAGAAGAGCCAAAAGCCACTACAACACGAGAGTCCTAGCCGGGAAAAAGGCCGGTTCTTGTCCGATGTAGAACTCGGATGTTGCAGCATTCTTATATGTCGAGATGCTGCGATCACAGGTGTCCATGCATTTGGTATGGACTTAGCTTTTAAGCGTTGCGGCTTGCAATTTATTCACGGTTACAGTTCACAGCTACCCATGCATTTGGTATGGACTTGGTTTTAAGGCTTTATGGCTAAATGAAACTCATGTTGTTTAAGGTGCAGCATTAGGATACAAACAATGGGATCGCCTTTTAATCCTAAATTATTGCACCATGGCCTGCATATTTTGCTTTCTAACTCTTCTTTTTTCGGTTAAATAATCATTTCATCATTTTAGGGGGGACCAAAATGCAATCATACCATGCACTATTTTAACTTCGACCTCGTAGTTGTGCCAATCCTAGTATAACAAAAATATCTTAAACATTTTGCTGTAAAATCTATATGAAATATGAGTTACGAATTTCAGAAAAACTTAAATAATAATGAATTGTTGAAATTTAGTAATGTAATTAGAGATAGCTTAACAAAAAAACAAGTGACTAAATTATATCTAAACTTGATTTTTGGCACTTAACGAATTTTTAATATTTCTTTCGTTATATTTTTAAGTGTCTATTGTTAAAGACATGTTAAGTAATACATGTCACGTTTATATTTTTTTAAATTTTTTTTAAATAAAATATTTTTCTACCAGAAAACAATACAAATACAGAACATGCACTTTTGTTGAAATAATCATTCTCAATTTCAAACCACAAGTTAGCAAGTAAAGAGAGCACATATTTTCTTTGGGCTGGATCCACAAGTGTCCATTGTTATTTTTAACTATGAATTAGGAAACCATTAATGATTTTTAACATAAAGAATAAGCTATAACTCCAACCACATAAAAGGAAAATTGGTATCCACTATAAATATTAAGAAAATTGATAAGAGATAAAGTAAATTTTGATTCAACTCGAAAAGTTTAATTTTTTTAACTCTACCCCTAATGTATAAACTCGATTCTATTCGAAAATTTTTAATAATAACTAAACATATATAGAATATTTTATAATAACTAAAATAAAAAAGCCAATATTTACCAAAAATATTGTGTCAAAATATAAACAAATCAAATCAAATTAGATAATTTCTACCTAATATGAAATTCTTTGCATTATCAACATGAAATATACTGATATAATATATTGAAAAAGAATCATACATATTGAAATAAATGGGGATGGTACAAATGGTACCCGCCCACTAAACCGTATTTCAATGAATACATGAAGCAACGACAGGTTGAAGCCAAAGCTGATATTTCATCTTTAATAACATATTGTGAGCACATTATCCTTTAGATCTAACTTCATTGTATATAAATACGTATTCAACAATCAAAACTTGTCATTTCTTTTCTCATTTTACCTTTTGAAAAACTTAATTTATCAAACTGTCCTTGGAAGTTACAACAAAAAATACCATTGTTAGTTTATCGCTACCTTTGTCTATTATGATCAAACAGTGTGACTAAAAAAAAATTATACGACAACGTCAAAAAGTATCATAGAATAGAGAAAATATCAATTAAAATTTTAAAAAGATGATCGAGGTTTTTTAAATTTTTAAAAAAAGGTATATGGCCCTCAATTTTTTTTATCTCAATGTGACATTCGAACTTAGAAAAAGAACTCAATATGATCCTTTGACCAATGGTTTTCATCGTTGATCGTTACAGTACCGACGTGTCATTTCACGGTGCTAAAGTGACGATCTATGATACTAACGTGACAGTCAACGGTGATTTATGACTAGTGGCCAATGTTGCTTTCTTGGCTATATTTATTAAATATGTTATATTTAATAATTAATGGTATTTTTATATTTAAATTTTTAATATTTTAATATTTTAAATTTTAAATATTTGTATTTCTTAAAAAATAAATAAGTACTTGAATTTTTAAAAATATTAATTTGGCACTCGAACTTGAAGAAAACAATTTAGCCCATCTGTCACGTTATTAGCCACCGTGAACTGTCACATCAGTATTGTGGACTACCACATCAACACTATAAAGTGTCACATCAGCATTGTAACAGTCAACGACAAAAACTGTTAATCAGAGGCCACATTAAGTACAAAAAAACTTTGAGGGTTATATTAAGATTTTTTTTTAAAAAGTACATGGGCCTCAGATACCCTTTCTCCAAATCTAAAAGTTTTTAAAATATAAATGCTTATTTTTGTTAAATTTTGATTAATAGTTTAATATAATTCAAATAATCTTAAAATCTAAATTTATAAAGTATTTTTTAATTAATTTGTTTTGTAACCCTAATAAAAAAGGTAAAATAAACATTTAAAACTTAAATTATTACTTTTATTTAATTTTGTTACCTAAACTTTATTTTCTTTCAAACTTATAAATAACGTTTAACTTATGTTTTATTTTGATATTATGCCATTAAAAACTTAACTGTGATATTGATGCATCATCATAGGTAATGCCACATTTTCATTGAAAAATAAGAAAATGCAACATCGTTGAAATTTTTTTAACATTAGGCTACAAATTTGAAACCTAAATTAAACATTAAGTATGATTTTGAAAAAATTAAAAGTTTGAGGATTAAAACGGAACAAAAGTAAAAAATTAGCCGTTAAATGTGTAGTTTACCCAGTAAAAAAAGCCACACAAAAGAGAAGCAATTGCAAATCACAAATCACAAATCACTGTTGTATCTGAGTGATAGGACAGTTAAACCCTCATAGGTGAATATGATTTGTCAATCTTGACGGTTGTACTTACATCAGTCCGTACTAGACTCTAAGCAGTATGGAGTACCTGAAATGACCCTTTTGTTAACGGAACTTCAGGTAAAATCAGGGAAATTACATTATTTGATTTAGGTAAACTAATTTAATGGTCATTAATGTTTGAGTAAGTTTTTGTTTTCACCAATAATATTTCAAAAGTCATAAATTGATCACTAACGTTATTGTTTGTTACAAATTGGTCACTTGCCGTTAACATGTGTGACGGAAAACACATGTGGACTGTTAACAACCATTAACAGGCTTACCTGAATAGTATAATTATATAAATAGTACATGTTATTTATATATTCTTTCAATTTGATCATAATTTTAATAAATTAAAATAAATTTACATACGAATCAGGAGGTTCCATGTGCCATTGGTTACATACCTTCATGACACTTATCATTTGATTGGAAGAATAAATTTATTTTAATTTATTTTTAATTTAATATATTTATTTCTACATGGTTTGAAGAAAATAAAGGAACAGAGAAGCAAGTGAGAGGATTCAAACATAGGACCTTGAGTGAAGTAATGCAAGTCAAACCATTGAGCCAAGGCAACCATTTGATATATTTTGGACAACAAAAGGTATATATCTTGTATCTTAGAATGTAAATGATTTACTCAAAATTAATAATATGTTATATATCTTAAATTTTAAAATTATCTCTTTATTTTATTTTAACTTATTATTATTTTTTATTTTTGACTTAATTTATTAATTATATTTTATTTTTATTTTAAAGTATATATATATATATTATATTTATCATCACTTAAAAATATATATTTTTTAAATATCTTAACTTGAAATATATTTAAATATTTTATTATTAATTTAATATAAAAATATATATTTTACTCTTATTTTAAATTAAATAAATATATAATATTTTATTCTTATATTTACTTAAAAATATATTTTATTCTTATTTTAAATTAAAACTATATTTTATTATTATATTAACTTTTAAAAATATATTAAATATAATATATTTCTAAATAAAAATAATAGTAAAATATATATTTTTATATTAAATTAATAGTAAAATATTTAATTATATTTCAAGTTAAGATATTTAAAAAATATATTTTTAAGTGATGATAA